CCACCCCAGCCCTCCCGGGGCTCACCTGGCCTGGTGTCCGCCCTGAGCCCTGACTCCTGGGGACGGTGCCTGGAGTGCAGGACACGTGTGTCTGGGCTGCTGCCCGCCTGGCTGTGGCCTCAAAACCAGTTAGTAGAACTAGGATGTGACCCTGAGTCCTGGCTCGCTGGTCCGAGTGCAAATGGGAGCGCGGTTGGGGGGCGGGGGGCGCGTAGGTAAGGACGGAATCCGCTCAGGCCGTTCCCACCGCTCCCGCCCCGTCGGGACGCCATCCAGGGCGCCGCAGGAGGACGCTTGCGGAGCGGGCATGCTGCCTCTTCTCTCCAGTTTTATGGGTCCCTCTGGGGTTTAGGGTTGTCCGTCTTTGTGAAAGGCAAACCACTTTATTGCTCTGTTTCTTGGCGGCCCTGGGCCCGTCCTCAGCTGGCTGAGGCGTGTGTGGGGAGGGCGCCTATGGCTGAGTGCCCTGAGCAGGCGGTGTCGTTGCAGCTGGCCAAGAACATCGGGAACGCGGGCTTCAACGAGATTATGGAGAGCTGCCTTCCAGCCGGGGACCCCGCCAAGCCCAGCCCGGGCAGCGACATGTGAGTGCGGGGCCGGCCGGGGCCCGGGTTCTGAGGGGCAGGGAGTGGCACCTTTGGGGCATCGACTGTTTCTCTCGGGCGGGGGTGGGGAGCATCTGCCTGCGAAACCCTCTGGTCTGGCCCTGCCGAGGCGTTGGGGGCGCGTTGATGAAATGTTTGACCAAGGAGGGCAGCCCCGTTTTCACTGGTGATTTCGTACGGCCCGCGAATGACATCACAAAGATCCCCGTGGCTCCGGGCAGAAGGCTCCCCGCCCGGCATGAGGGACTAAGTCAGCCTATGCTGTGGGTTTTGGGGCTTTTTCTCGACACCTTCACCTTCCGGGGTGTCCCAGTGGAAATGGGTGGCGTGGCTGTTTTTCCGAGGAAGAGGCCCGGGAAAGCCCTGCGGGCTGGGGTGCTGTGTATGTGCAGGGGGTGCGGTGAGTGTTGCCTTCGCCTGGTGGTGTGTGGGTTCACACTCGCCTGTCTGCCTGGGGAGTGGAGTCCCTCCAGGCTTAGGTCTCCCCTAGAGCCAGGGCTGGCGGGCAGGCGGGCCACCCTAGCGAGCACTCCTCCCGGAGGCCAGGCGTCTGCAGGCGCCAGGAACGGCTGCTGCAGGGGGTGGGGTGACTCGGAGAGAGGCCCCATCAGGGCTCTGGGCAGGCAAGGCTTGGAGGCACGAGGTGGTGCGGCCAGTGGCTCCGGGGGTGGGGCCCGACTTCAGGGGGAGCAGAGACGAGGTTAGTGTGCAGGGGGGCTGAGAGCGGGCGGCCCTGGCCGCCTGCACCAGAGACTGGAGGGTCGCTGCTGCTTGAACATGCTGACGGGTCCCAGGAGCAGGTGCCCCATGGGCACAGGGCACAGCTTCCCTGATTGAGCTTCTTGTAAGGCAGTGGGGACCGGGCTTTTATTTATTTAATTTTTAATATTTTAATTGGTTTCAGAGGAAGGGAGAGGGAGAGAGAGATGGGAACATCAATGATGAGAATCATTGATCTGCCTCCTGCACGCCCTCTATCGGGTATCAAGCCCGCAACCCGGGCA